AGGATGCATGTTAGAGAAGGAGGGGGCATGGAGAGCACATTGAACGCAGGTGATCCCCAGCTGGTGCAACAGACCTTAAGGGGCTGTTGCAGCAATCAGAATTTAGAGAAGAATGGCGTCTGTCCTAAATTTTGCTGGGAAACAGTTCAACCCTCCAGCTGCTCCAAGATTATAGGAGCATAAAATTAGCTTTAAACCACATTTGTGCCCTCTCCCTACCTTTATCTTGTGCTGAAGATCTAATCTAAGGGACATCAGGTTAAAAAAAAATTTAAAAAAAAGCCAAAACAATAAACTAAACTCTGGATCCCATAATGTATGATTCTGTAGGCTAGTATATAGTATTACAGGAATCTGTGGATAGATCTGGAACTACATTATTCAACGTGAAAGAGTTTTGTAAATAATTCTTCCATACCAACATTTCAAATATGCTTTCTAGAGATCAATATGAATACCAAGAACTTGTATGAGTTTTTCATGCATTTCAGTTACTGTATTAAGTATAATATATACTGAGACAAACGTTCTGTGCTTTAATATTGAACTTTATGAAAATCCTTTTTTAGAAGTTAGATATACCTCTTTTCCCTACAAGTGTATTTTTTCCCATATCTTTTGTCCTCAAGTTTCTCATTCAGACTGTGATGCTACTGTATGGGTCTCCAAAAATTAATAAAATGATAAATTGTTGTGTGCAATTATTCAGGAACAGGATGGTGATGGAGTGATGATGTGTGTGGCGGGGAGGGGGAGGTTTGTTATTGTTGAGGGGGTTTTTTGTTTTTTGAAGCCTTTTATGTTTTATGAGCTGTTTTATGTATATAAGCTGTTTTATGAGCCTTCTGTTTCACAAAATAATCTTTGGATTAGAACTGCTAAGAGTGACAAGTGGGAAGTGGGAAAAGCAGTGAACTTGTCTGAAATATAGCAGAAGTGTTGTACTAACAAATGATGAGATGACCTATGCAGAAAAGGAAAGGAGATTTTTTTTTAAAAACCTCAATTCTGAGAACTTAAAAAAAAAAAACTACTTTTTTTTCTTAAATACAGACAGCTCTTTTTTACTTCAAATGGAGTAACATGTGTTCAGTGCCTTAGAAAAATCAGGACCTAAATTGGTCACCCTAAAATGGAGGCATCCAAAATTAGTGGATACTTCAAAATGCTGGCTTTTGGTATGTGACAAAAATATATAGCCTATGAAAAGAGTTATCAGTAACTGCTTCCTTTTTACCCTTCTTTCAGTCTTGTCTTTGTGCCTTCTTCCATGCTGCCCCTTAAACCTGAACTGCTCTCCATCTTGGGCTACCCTTCCTGGTCATTCAAGTCCCTCCTAAAAATAACCATAATTCTTCTGTGAAACCTTTCAGCTGCAACTCAAATGCACATCACATAATATATAGAGATACGTGCATGAACACCAAGTGAAGCTTCTGATCCCTGTTATCCTGTGTGTCTGTATTTCGGTCTTAACTTATAATTCCTAGAGCTAAAAACTGCATCTTCTAAATCCTACACATCACTGCATTCAGTAATAATCTGTCATCCCCAGTTAAAGGAATATTGGGAGGGTATTCTGCATGAACAGTTTAAAAAAAAAAAAGTTATGGAAGACTTGCCCCAACTAGAGTCTTATATGTCTGCCTATCACTATAGTATCTGAAAACACTAAATATTTTAAATGCCAAACAATTAAAGGTGGTGGTGTAGCTGTGTTGGTCCCAGGATATCAGACACAAGGTGGGTGAGGTAATATATTTTATTGGACCAACTTCTGTTACTGAAGAAGACAAGCTTTCAAGCTACACAGAGCTCAAGAAAGCTTGTCTCCTTCACCAACAGAAGTTGGTCCAATGAAGGATATTACATCACCCCCTTCTCTCTCTAAACGGTTAAGGGGTCAATTATGAGACACATAAGCCAGTGTCTACCTACAGAAATACAGGTAATGAGGAGGGAAACAAGTTGATTGAACTCTGGCAGAAGAGAAATCTAGGTTTTGTTCTTGGGGGATTTTTTGAGTGTTTTTTTTTTTGTAAAGTGAGCCCAAGAAGAGAAGGACTGTCTTCTAAATAGTAGCTGTTTTTAGGCATATGTCTGCCTATTTTTAGGCTTAAAGTCCAGTAACAATGTTTATCGTAATAAACACCTAGCACTGTCCAGAGTAGATGTCATTAGTTTCCAAAAACAGGAGTTTTCAAAATGGTTAGGCACTCCCCTCATCAATCTTACACATTTCCATACACAATTTGAAACTGTTTAAATAATTTTATAGTTTGATAATTACTATTTTCACAATAAGGATGAAACTAACAATATGGAATTCTTTATGTTCTACTGTATCAAGCAGCTACTTTGGTTTAACTATCTAGCACAGAAGTCAATTATGGTTTCCTCAATTTTAATTTATTCATATGTGACGTATTGTATTTAGTGTTAAATTTATCTCTTAAGTCACTGAGGCTGAATTACAGTTGTGAGACTTGTAACTTTGAAATTTTAAACACACAAATCAAGAAACTGAACCATGATATTACATTAAAGTAGCTTTTCTGGCACTGATTTACTTAGGAAATATAAAGTATTTTATAAAATATCACAGATGTCATTGCAACAAATGAAGTTCAAAATAGCAGAGCTTCAGATATACTCTGTGCATACATCTGGAGCTCCATAACTTTATTAAAGTAAGTGAACTTTGAAATAAATCTGCGGTACCTCAATAGTAGCAGAGCTTTAGAATAATTGACAAAAAGAACAGACAGTAAACTAAATCAGCCTACCCACTTCCACTTCCCAAATGCACATTCATTTAACAAAAAAACAAAACAAGAAAAAACCTCCCAGAAAACTGAGAAAGGGTCTCAGTTCTTACACACATGCTTATCTGCTACTGAAATCAACAGGCCTGCAGAACTTGCACAAGAGGCTCTTGCCCATTATGAAGAAGTCTTTATGATAATGCTGTCAGTCTGTTTAAAAAAAAAACACACAAAACAATGCCTCTGGCATTTGCAATGTATAGCATGGACTGCCAAACTTTGTTATATTATGTCTTGGTTTAAAAAATATTATTGCATTCTTAGTTAGAAAAGATAATGTAGGCTTATAACTTGATCTGACAGTGATGAGTTTCAGTTCACTGGAATTAAGTAGCTCTAATTGAGACTTTAGGAAAAGTTCCTCATATGAGGAAGTTCATTCTAAAATGGTTAGACACTTTTCTGCACATCCAAAATGTAACCAACTATACTCAATATTCTGTAATACCACTGCTGTTTCACTGCATCATCAGTGACAGCTACACAGGCCTTCTCTTGAACAGTTCAAAAAAAATTCCTCTCATAGATATTCTTTAACATATAGAGCATTTGCAGATGACAGATCTACCCAGTTAAATGCTTCCTGCAATTTTGTTAATTATATGCCAGTTCTGAATGACTCCTAACTAACTAAAGAGCTATCAAGTCTCCCTTCAAGGTTACTGTCTCAATCACTTGGGTAGACTTCTTAGGAAAATATCCTATTATTTCAGGTTTGAAATTTCAAAAGATTTTTTTTCTTTGATCATCCCCTAAGAAAAGCGAAGATAATAGTTATAACTTTTTCCTTCGATTATTTTTTCACTTTTACTATTGTCTGACATAACCAACTCCTTTCGGATAGCTTGATATATAGGGAAGTGGTAATCACACAGAATGGGCAAGTGCAACCACAAGTTCAGTGTGTGCCTGTCTCTGTCTATCTCTCTGGTCACCACTTGAATGGAGGTCAAGGTTACAGACTTACTATTCATGACCATGTTGTTTTGATATCAACATTAGTTTTCATGCAGAAGAAAAATGCTATGTATTTTCTATCTTTTTAATCTTTCAAGAAGCTGCAAATTCATGAATATTTGTAAGGATGTGAGAAGCAATGGAAAAAAAAACACACTTCCTATGTCTGATATTCCTTGAGGGAAATAAGATCTATTGCCTTAAAAAAAAAAAAAAAGTTATCCATTAAGGATCAATTACTGGTAAAAATCAAGAAAGCACAGGGTAGAGTAAATAAACCCGGACAAAGACTGTTTTTTGTTTGTGTGGTCTCTGGTTTAAGAGGGCAATGAGAAAAGAGCAACGCCAGACAGTGATGTCACCGCATGAAGATAACAAAGGAAGCTGCCCAGGCTGAGAAACTAGGGGCTCCTCTCATTTAGCCAAAAATTAGAAGACTAACACCTAAAATAATTAATCCAGATCTGTCTAAAAATTAAAGACAGGGTTACAAAACAAATTTCTTTTCTAGTTTGGGGTTGGTGTGTGTATTGCTTTGTTCTTGTATGCATAGTTTCTACCGCACACTTATACTTACGCTTTATAAATCAATTAAAATCTTCGTCAACAACACATTGAGCAACGGTCTATCTTAAGAGAAAACCTCTGATCTCCTTTCCAAATTGTTGGAAGGCAAAAATAGATGAGACTGAAAGAAACAAAGAAGTCTCACCCAAGGGTGTACATAAAATGAGTTAGCCAGTTGCCAAACTTAAGACCTGGCACACATTAGTTTCACCAACCAAAGCCTTTACAGAAAAAGCACTTTCACTGTTTGTTTTGTAATCACGGTAGCGCGGGGGAGAGGAAGGAAGAGCCCCCCCAAAACCTGTTACTTAAAAGTGAAAGGCTCTCTGGAGCTGTTTACAAAAAAACAAAAGCTCACATGGAAAGCTACATCCACCCAAATCCCATGAATTAAAATAGGAAAGAGCGGTTAGTGTCTTTCTCTCTCCTTCCTATTGTTTTTCTTCTCTCCCCTCCCTCCTCTTTCGCCTTCTCTCTCCCCATCTCTATTTCCTCTCTCCTCCTCTGCCTTGCTCCAGTTCTCCTTCCCTTTCCTGTGTCCCACCTCCCCCTTTCTCTGTGTACGGCTGTGTTTACCCCTCTCTGGGCACGTCTGGCTCCTTTACCTCCCTCTCCCCTTCTAGGTCTGCCTCACTCCCCTCTCGCCAGTACCTGATATGGCGGCGGCGGCTCCTGATCCGGTTCGGTCCCATCCCCGTAGCTGGCTCTGTCCGACTGAGACTCGTGCAGCAGGGAGATGTCATCCGAGGTGGGGGACTTCAGGCAGTTCCCCATCGTTCCCGGCGGGGAGAGGGCTTCTCCTCCTCAGGGTCCGCTCCCGCCTTGGTCTCCTCGCAGCGCCAGGCCGCCCGCAGCAACAGCAGCCCGGCTGGGGAGGCTCATGCCAGTCTCTCCCCGTAAGAGGCTGAGCGCCAACCCGGCTGCACCAGGGACCCGCGGTCTCTCCCTCGCCCCGCACACTCAGGCTCCTGGTGCTGCCTCCTCCCCCTCCCGGGGCCGGGAGGCCTGTGAGGAGCAGCGGGCGGGAGGAGGAGGCCTCACTTCCCCACCCCCATAAGGGCCGCTGACAAGGGGGGCAGGGCTGTGTTTGGACAGCTGGGTTCAGGTGCAGCCCGCGCCCGTCCCCCAGCCCCAGCCGCAGCCAGGCGCTGTTCTGCTTCCTGGTCACCAGCGTTGTGCGCACTGGGCTTTGTCACACGGGCCTGGTAACTCCTCCTCTCACTCCGCCCCGCTGCTGATAGGTTTCCCAGGGCCAGGCCTGGCTGCTCTCTCGCGGGCTCCTGCCGCCCATGGTCGCTCCCTGAGGAGCGAATGGAAGACGATGCTTTCTGTGATGCGTTGCGGTCACATTTGCAGAGCAGATTCAACTTGCTCCCCAAAATGGGGGGTGCGATTTTGCCCCACTGTTTTGGGTTTTTTTTGTTTGGTTGGGGTTTTTTTTGGCATGATTTTAATGTAGTGTGTGCCTGTTTGGGGTGGGTGATATATGACTAAGAGGCGAGCCCTGATCATGGATCAGAACCCCTTTGTGCTAGGTGCAGTACAAATACAGAACTGGAAGACAGTCACTGCCAGAGCAAAAGCTCAGGTTTGTGCACATAGTCAGAATATGGCACCCAAAGATGGTGATGAGGTGCTCCCATTGCACTCAGAAAACAGAGTAGTTTATGCACACATTGAGCACCTGGACACCCACAAGTCATTTTTAAAATTTGCAGGTTGATACTAAAGCTGGACTGCCAAGGATTTTTTTTTTAAATTGAACTTGTGCCTCTTTCCTTATAATTTATATCGTGGTAGTGCCTAGAGGCCAACCACTTGGGATCCCATAGTACTTGGGGTTCCTTCACCAAGGAATTTACCATCTAACTCTAATCATATATAAAGAGGACCTGAACAGTTGTGGTTTTATGTTTTCTTTTCAGCCTGTTTACCTTTGAAATATTAGGAATGAAAAATCTGGTCTTCACGGGTTTGGAGGAAGATGTGCTGGAGATTTCAGAACATGTTTATTGTGAGATCTAACTCCTTCATTAAAGGGGCAAGAGTGTTTTTTTTTTTTTTAAAAAAAGACATCCTTTACTCAAAATACTAGTTAGTTATTTAAATAGGTGTTTCAAATGCAAACAAAAAATAGAGTTTTAAGCAGTCTGAGGGCTTGTCTACACTTAAAATACTACAGCAGCACAGCTGCACCGCTGTAGCACTTCAGTGTAGACACTACCTATGGTCACAGGAGGGGTTCTCCCATCAGCGAGAGGCAGTAGCTAGGCTGACAGAAGAATTTTTCAATATAGCACTGCCTAAACAGACTTTGTGAGGATTTTTCACACCCTTGACTGACGTAGTTAAATCAACGTAATTTTCTAGTGCAGATGAGACCTGAGTAAAAATCACTTGACTCTTGTGATGCCACCAGTGCACAAGTTAACACAGGTTTTGGATTAAATTCGGGCCCTCTTGAAGTCAGTGGCAAAAGTCTCATTGACTTTGAGGTCAGGATTTCACACCTTGTCTCTGGCCTTTTTTCTCTAAAATTCCCACTGTTGCTACCAACAATGTGGCTCCACAGGTAATAGCAAAGTGGGAATGTTAATGTAAACAACAGTTTAGCCACTGTTTTATCCCTGGTGCTAGTTTTGAGCAGGGTTAGATGACATAATATTTAAAATACACTAATCCCCACTATTGCTAGCACCAGTGATATTAGCACTGGGAAATTCTAAGGAAAAAAGACTAATATAGAGACCCACAGAGATTTTTGAGGGCAGACAAGACCTACATTTCAAATGTAAAAGAACTAGCAGGACATTTTTAAGTCATATTGCCCCAACGTGCAATACCCATTCCCATGTACTAAGATACACATATAGACAATGTGCTACAAAATAGAAAAAAGATGTGTTTTGGCAAAAAGAAAATCACCATTGTACATATCCACAGCACACACAATAACTTCTGAAAACAAATATTCCTCTCAGCCATTTTCATATAGCAGTCAGTCTTGCAAATCCTTTCGTTCATTTCTTAACACACTTTCAGATTCCTCTGCAGTGTGTAAGTGCGGGTTACTTGCCAGAATTATCTGGGTATATCTCATTTAATCATATCCCTGCCATTGCAGGGGCCTTGAGCACTTGTGTATCTTGGTCCCTCCTGTTCTCTGCCTGTGGCACTTAATAGCCTAGTCTTCTGTGGGTTTTATTTACTTTGATCCCATTTCCGTTATTGGGTTTAGTTTGCAGGTGGTGGGTAGTGTTGGTGGCCTGTGATATACAAAAGGTCAGACTAGATGATCTAGTGGTCCCTTCTGGACTTAAACTCTATGACTGACATTTTGCCAATATCAATGTACATCGAGTGATTTACAAACGTCGTATTGGGTTGCTTTAACTTTTCCTTATTATTCTCAGAAACTATCATTGAATAAAGATGGTAATATGTGGATGGGATGACAGGGCACAAATGCATCCCCCTAAAATCTGAAGACATCCTTTCTCAGGGCTATGCTGTCACAGCTTTTTCTGACAGAAAAATCTCAAAGGGAATAATGCAAAGATGATGGCAGAACTGATGTGGAATATGTTTTAGAAGCATACACGCTGCACAATATCATTTACATTGCTTATCTTCCTCACACAGGCACACATCTGAGGGCAGAATATGGCCCAGTATATTTCCATAATCTTTTGATTTATTTAGGATTAGGCAAAATTTAAAGCTGTATGGCTAGTGTTTAATACCAAGTTTGTAATTTGATATTGATGAAATCTGGCATATGAAAATAAAGGAAAAGTAAATTGACTACTATTTTAGACTAAATCTTTTGTGTTTGTATAATACTGATATATTCTCTTGTAGAACTATTTTCTTCCACTGTGGTTCTTATATAAATAGTATGCATTTCATATGGCTATTATGGTGAGCAATTTTTTTACAAAATAAATTACAGCTGTGCAAAATTCTCAATTTGCACTTTGTGATTTTTATATGGTGAAAATGCAAATGTATGTAAATATTTATAAATTTGTTCAAATGTGATTTTGCAATTTACACAAGCAAAGTCTTTTAAGAAATGCTAAACATATAAGCTAGGGAAAAGATGTGGTTTAGATAAGGGATTTTTTTGTACTTTCATTGAACTAGGGCACACCACTTTTTCTATCAGGAGTGAAGAAGTAGTACATGAATAAAACAAGCTTTCTGTCAGAATAAAAAAATATGTTGAGAAAACACCAACATTGACTTCTGCATCCAGTGAAAGCTTGACTTTTTTTTCTGATTTTGACAAGTGGCATAAAAATCTTTGCACAGCTCTAATGGTAATTCATGGAAAAACATAAAGAACAATTACTTACCCTACAGTAACTGTGGTTCTTTGAGATGTAGCAGTCAGTACAAATCCCAGTGTAGGTGTGCCTCTGCCACATGCACACAAGATCCCAGTCTTTTGAATACCTGTCTGTTGGGACTGCACATGCACCCTGTGCCTCCTTATGCTCCTCTACAAAGGCCTGGAGGGTGGGGCAGACATGACCCTCAGTGCCCTTGCAATTTAAAGCCTCTGGTTGCTGAGGACTCTGAAAAGCGGGGACGGTGGTTGGGTCATGGATTCCACACTCACTACAGCATGTCAAAGAACCACAGTTACTGTAGGGTATGTAAGGAGGATTACCTTGTGCAGTAACTGGAGTTCTTCAAGTTGTGTATCCCTATGGGTGCTCCACTTCAGATATGCATGTACCTCTGATCAGACATTTTTGGTAGTAGTGCCCATTCAGTCCATGCATGTCCCCTACAGATCCTCATGCCCCACACCGAGGCTATATAGGGTTGCATGGGCAAAATGCCCTCAGTTCCTTCTCCACTGCAAAGTCCTTCAGAGGAAACTCTGAAGCTGAGAGGAATGAGGGCAGGTAGTGGAGCCCCCCACAGGGGGATACATCTTACAGAACTCCAGTGACTGCATAAAGTGAGTAATCTCTCCTGCTTTGAGCAGTGTCCCTATGGGTGCTCCATTTCAGATGACTACCAAACAGTGCCCTCAATTGAAGGGGGGGAGCTTCAGAGCTGAGTCCAAGACTGAAGACAAGACTGCATTTCCAAGGACAGCATCTGATCTAGAAGAATGAACCACCACATAATGTTTGTAAAAGGTGTGTATCGAAGTCCATACTACAGCCTTACAAATCTCCCCAATAGAAACATGCTCAAGCAATGTCACAGACGTAGAAAAAGACCTCATGGAATGGGCTGACACCATAGAAGGAGGTTGTAAATCAGCAGATTCATAGCAAGAAATAATACATCCAAAAGTCTACCTGGAGAATCACAAGGTGGAGACTTGTGGACCTTTTGGACTTGTCAGCAATTGAAATTAACAGACTGGGAGACTTTTCTAAATGGTTTGATTCTGTCCAGACAGAAAGCTAATGCCTTCCTGAAGTCCAAGGTATATAAAGTAGCATCCCTCCAGGTGTGATGTAGTTTTGGGGAAAATACTGGGAGATGGATGACTAATTGATGTGAAATTCAGATGACACATTAGGTAAAAAATTAGGAAGTGGGCATAACAAAACCTAAGAACATAAGAACGGCCATACTGGGTCAGAACAAAGGTCCAGCTAGCTCAGTATACTGTCTTCCAACAATGGCCAATGTCAGGTGCTTCAGAAGGAATGAACAGAACAGGTAATCATCAAGTGATCCATCCTCTGTCACCCATTCCCAGCTTCTGGCAACAGAGGCTAGGGACACCATCCCTGCCCATCCTGGAGCCATTGTGGAACTTATTCTCCATGAATTTATCTAATTCTTTTTTAAACCCTGTTATAGTCTTGGCCTTCACAACATCCTCTGGCAAAGAGTTCCACAGATTGACAGTGTGTTGTGTGAAAAAATACTTCCTTTTGTTTGTTTT